AGCGAGATCATTATCTATCACGATCTGCCATTTCGATATGTAGAGTATGAAAAGGTCAGAGCAAGAAACTTGTATCTTAATCCAGATTGTAAACCTATTTCTCGACAGACTGCTGCATCTGATGTCTATAAGAGATATCTGGTAGAAAAGGAGAAGCTAAAAGAGGTTTTTGCTAATCATCATGGTCGGGTCTGCTTTACTTCTGATTTGTGGGTATCTCGTGCCACAATGACAGGATATATCTGCTTAACAGCCTCCTTCATTGATGCTAGCTGGATACTGCACAGTAGGATATTAGCTTTCTTGGACATGAATTGTGCACATACTGGTGAAGAGCTTGCTCGTGTGGTTCTTGAGTGTTTGACAGATTGGGGCTTGGAGAAAAAGGTTTTCTCCATTACCTTGGATAATGCTTCGAACAATGATAGTATGCAAAGAAACCTAAATGGACAGCTTCAGATGATTGGTGGAAGTGGTTTGGTATGTGATGGTAAGTTCTTTCATGTGAGATGTTGTGCACATATCTTGAATTTGATAGTGAAAGAAGGCTTGTTGTTAGCAAATGATTTGTTAAATGACATTAGGGAGAGTGTTAGATATGTTAAGGCATCTCCACAAAGAAGAAACGCTTTTTCAGCTTGTGCAGAGAGAGAAAAGGTCAAACCTGGTGCAGGATTGTCTCTTGATATAAAGACCAGATGGAATTCCACATACGATATGCTTGTGAGAGCTTTGAGGTATAGGAAAGCATTTGAGAGCATGGAGACTTTTTGACCCTCACTACAAGACACTCCCTTCACAAGCTGAGTGGGATCGTGGGGATAAAATCTCCAAGCTGTTAAAACCTTTCAGTGTTATTACTACCTACATGTCAGGTTCGAAATACCCTACATCAAATGTCTATTTCACGCAAGTATGGAGAATTGAGATGCTGCTGCAGAAATATGCTGATGATGATGATGCTGCAATAAGAGAAATGGTTGGAAGAATGCAAGGAAAGTTCAATAAATATTGGGAGGATTATAGTGTCATTTTGGCTATGGGAGCTGTTCTTGATCCTAGGCTGAAAGTGGAAATGATTGAAAAAGCTTATGAAGCTGCAGATCCTACTACTTCTTGGTTAAAAATTGATGAACTCAAGGAAAATTTGAAGATGCTCTACAAAGATTATCAGACTAGGAATCGTGCAAGTTCTTGTGGTGTTTCAGCTACACCAACTCCACATGACATTGTCACTGAGTCTCCACTTGAACATGACTTTGATGATGTAAGTAAAATTCTCTTCTTCACTTGTGAACCTGATTTCAATATGCACCTGATTTGTAGTCCTGGAAATGATTTTTAGTATGCACTTGTGAGTTTGCTTGATTGCAGGGAATGATATTGTGTAGGGTTTATTGATGATATTGATGCTTCCGTATTCATGATATTCATAATAACTAGTGTGTTAGTGTTACAGAACAGACTTTGCTTTATTCTTAAGACTTTGCTTCATGTAACTGATGATATTCATGATTGTTCATTACATGATCTCTTTGAATTAGAAAGAAGCCTTGACTTTGGTGTGGGCAACACAAAAACGCATTTAGATATCTACTTGGATGAGCCGAGGCTAGCGAGGAGTGCTTTTCCAGATTTGGATATTCTGGGCTACTGGAAAGAGAACCAACATCGGCTTGGTTGTTTAACTGAAATGGCACGGGATCTCTTAACAATTCCTATTACTACTGTTGCATCAGAGTCTGCTTTTAGCATAGGAGCACGGATTTTGACGCCTTATAGAAATCGTTTACTACCAAAGAATGTCCAAGCATTACTGTGCACAAGAAATTGGCTAAGAGGCTATGAAGACTATGAAGAAATCATAGAAGATGACAATGAGGCCACTAGCTCGAGAACAGAAGTGTCAACTTCAGAAAATCCTAGAGGACCTAGACCATGAGATAATCATTCTTCTCTACTTCTTTTTTTTCTGTGTTTCATTTCTTAATGTTCAAAGACCGTATAAGTTAAAAGAACTTGTTTTAAGTATTATATAGTCTTCACTGATTGTTAATTGTAATCTTACTGTTAAGTACTGAGAAGAATCAATCCCTTTTTGTAACATGTGAAGCAGATATAGAGAAAGTAAAGATGGTTCCATGTGAAGAATCAATTCCTTGCTCCCATTGTGGAATCGGATGGTTCTCGTGAAGTCGTGAGTGCTTCTTCTTCTTCTACTCACTCAATCCTTTTTCTTTTCATGTAGTCTTGCTGAAATCAGATTCATTTCTTTTATAAATCAGACCTTTCTTTAAGATTTTATACTCTGTTTTTGTTTTTGATTTTATGGGTTTCTTTAATGCAATAAAGGGTAAACACAGCAAAAAAAAAAATGTAAATTTGTTATTCAAAAAATTACACGGGCTTCAGTGGACGGACTTAGGGCCGGCAGGCTTAAAAAGTAATGGGCCTAAATGGGTTTAAAGTTTAATGGGCTTAAACGGGTATTGCTTAAATGGGTTCGGCCTGAATGGGCACTGCTTAAATGGGCTTGCCCATATTAACATTATGAGGCCTGGCCCACTTCTTTCTCTCGCTTTTTCCTTTTGGTTTCATTAACCGATACGAATTTCGGTTTACCACCAATACCAAACAACACACAAACCTCTTATCCTACGCTTTCTCCGTTCACATTAGCAACAACCAATGAGGGAGGCTGGGAGGGTGGTGGCTGCTGCCGTCATTTAAAGTGCGCACTCTGGATGGTTGTCATTATCGCGCCATCGTTCAGACAACATAACACGTGTCTATTTCTGTCATATCCACGTCATCATTCTCCTTCCTTACACTTTTGCCATTTTTAGGTTTTCCCCTCCAAAAATTTGTCCAATCACTTTGTTACCTTCTTTGAGCTTCATTTCTCGCTGTGCAAAATCGAACCGATTCTGAGTTCTTCACCGTCCGATTAACCGGCGATGGGATCTTCCCCCGATCCGGGCGAGTTGATTGAGTTTCCTCAGCCGAGTTTCGATGAGTTTCAGAGGCAGACGTCACTGATGACGAGCTGCAATCTTCTGTGGAAGGAGCTCTCGGAGCATTTCACTTCGATGGAGCAGAGCCTGATGAAGAAATCGGAGGCTCTGAAACAGATGATCGAAACCCTAGACCATCAGACGCAGACATCGATCGAGCTACTCAAGCATCGTGAGGTCTCTATAGACCACAGCGTCGAGATCGCGGCGGCGAAAGCCGATGAGCGAGCTCGAGCCGCTCTGGAATCGCTCGAGAAAGCTAGAGACATCGGCTCAAACGCCGACGACGACGACGGTGAGGTCGACGACGGCGACGGGCTTCTCTCTGCACTGAAATCGCTCTGCCTGAAGATGGACGCAAGAGGATTCTGGGGATTTGTGATCGCGCGGAAGAAGCAACTGGAGAATCTCCGGTCAAAGATTCCGGTGGCGCTAGTGGATTGCGTGGATCCGCCGAAATTAGTACTCGAAGCCGTGTCTGAGGTTTTTCCGGTGGACAAAAGAGGCGTTGAAGGCGCCGGAGAGAAAGCAACCAACGATTTCGGGTGGGCTTGCGTGGTGATTCTTGAGAGCTTGATACCAGTAATTGTCGATCCAGTGATTGGGAAATCTCGGATGCTTTTAACACCTAGCGTCAGGGAGAAGGCTAAAGAGATCGCTGAGACGTGGAAGGCGAGCTTGGAGGAGAGAGGAGGGATAGAGAACGTGAAGACACCTGATGTTCATACGTTTCTTCAGCATCTTGTGACTTTTGGAATTGTGAAAAAGGAAGATCTTGCTCTGTATAGGAAGCTTGTGGTTGGATCCGCTTGGCGTAAACAGATGCCAAAGCTTGCTGTTTCAGTTGGTTTGGGTGACCAAATGCCTGGTAAACAAACTCTCTTATTTTTTAATTTTCTTAGCTTTGGATGCAGTAGCTTAGTACTAGTCCATGTGAATATATGTTTTCATGTGACCTTACCTTAACTTTGATTTTGTTACCTGAAATGTTGTTGTCTTAGCTCTTTCTTTAAATGTGAGCTTGTGAGTATTATCTGAGAATGGAGAGTGATGGTTTTGAGTTGATTTATGCTGTTATACAGAGATGATTGAGGAGTTAATCATCAGAGGACAACAGCTTGATGCTGTTCATTTCACGTTCGAAGTGGGTCTTGTACACAAGTTCCCTCCTGTTCCTCTGCTCAAAGCTTATCTTAGGGATGCAAAGAAAGCAACATCTTTAATCACAGAGGACCCCAACAATCCCGGACGAGCTGCGGTAATTGCTCTATACGCGCTCTCTTAGCACTCTTTTATGGTTAAATGTGTAAACTTTCTAACACTTTGTTTGTATTTTTCATAGCATCTTGTGGCGCGGAAGGAGCAGTCAGCGTTAAGAGCAGTGTTAAAGTGCATAGAAGAATACAAACTCGAGGAACAATTCCCGCCGGAGAATCTCAAGAAACGGTTGGATCAGCTGCTAGAGAAGACGAAGACGGAGAAGAGGAAACCAGTAGCGGTTCCGGCCAACAAGAGAACCCGAGCAAGCTACAACGGTCCAATGCCACCAGCCAAAGCAGGGCGTATCACAAACGCGTACGTCTCCTCCTTCCCACCGCCACCACCTACATTCATCAGATCACCGAGCCATTCTCCTCAGTACGGTGTACCGGCATACAACACACCCCCACCTTCCATCTACAGCAACAGGAGTCCACCGTACCAATACTCACCCGAGGCGGTTCATGGGACGTACCAAGCTTCTCCGGTTAGTTATTCGGTTCCTTATGGTGGCTACTGCAGTCCGGTGGCTCCTCCGGTTTACCATCCTCACCCACACCACCAACACCAACACCATATTCAGCATGCTTACTACTGATTAAGTGATTAGACAAGACAGTGACAAAGAAAAACATGAAGATGGTAAGTAACCAAGTACCAACCACTGATCTCTGGTGTCTCTTGTGTCTACGTTTTTTCTCCACGTCGTTTTTTTTGTTGTAATATCTCTCTCTCCCTCTCACTCTCACTCTCACTCTCTTCAAATTTGCAACTAACACTCTCACTCTCTTTGGCTCTAAATTAGCAGTCGTTACCTTCTTGTGTGTTTATTAATTTATACATATCTCTGCTCTTTCCTCATTTCTCTGTAGTTCCTTAATATTTCAGTACGAACTTAGATTCATTTTAAATCGTTCTAAATTCATTTCCAGCTTGAAAATCAAGATTTCATTCAAGTAACATCAACTCTGAAAGCAAGATTCCATACAAAACGACACCGTATTACACTAAAAACGACGTTCTTTAAGCTAATTTCATCATCAGTCGTTGGCAGTGGCGAGCTGGAGAGACAAGAGCTCTTCCTCAGGGATCATCTTAATGTGACAATCAGAAGTTGGATACGACGCGCACAGGAGCGCGTAGCCACGCTCCACGACGTCTTCGCTTAGCATCCCGTCGCTCTGATCCACCGTTCCGGATACGAGTTTCGCCGGACAAGTCATACAAACGCCGAGATTGCAGTCGTAAGGCACGTCAAGTCCCGATTCAAGTGCTTTCGTTAGAATCGTCTCGTCAGGTTCTACTTCCAATTCCGTCATCTTCCCGTCGTGCTCCACCACCACTTTATACGAACGAGTAACAATCCCGCGGGGAAGAAAATTCCGGCGGTTCGTTGAGAGTGTCAAGTTCCGGAGCGGGAATGAGAAGGAATTGGAGAGATAAGGTTTAGGGAGAGAGATTATGGAAGTTTGAGGAAGGGGAAGAGTCGCCATTAGAGAGAGACAGAGACAACAGACTTGCGTCGAGTGGGAGAGATGAGTATTTGTGGTGAATACGAAGATAAGATAGGAAGGATTAAACCGGATCAGATCATATCAAACCGGGAATCAATTTCGGTCAACAACCACCGCGTTTTTAATATTATCCAGATAGAAGCATGTGACATGTGACACTTATCTGCAGAAGGAAGTCATATAATCATCATTCCGCGATTTGATTCGATACGTTCTTAATTCTCTTCAAACGTTTCAGGTCAAGGTTGTTGACTTTCCCAATCAGGTAACATCGTCTTCTTCCAATTTTTTTCTCTCTTTTTTTAATTTCTCTGCAGATTTCGACTCTATTTTGATTGGATCGGTTAGTTCTATCGGGTTTAGATGATTTTCGTTGTTAATCATAGTGATTTGGTGTTAAGTATTGACTATTACGATTGGTGTTTACACATCTGGGGATTTATGTTTATGATGTGTGTTTGATTTAAAAAAAAAACTTAATTTTTGGATTAGGTACCTTTGGTTGTGAATTTCGGGATTGTTAATAGTTTCGGAAATTTTTGAAGATCATTTCTGCCGTTGATTTTGATATTCTCTTTGTGAATCAAGCAGTGAAGATCAAATCATGGCCTCTCGAATTGCTAACAATGTGGCGGAAGTAAGCTCTCCAATTCTTACACTATTCATTTTCAAAAGTGTTGATTTTTGTTACATGCTCATGTATTTATTGATCTTATTTGTTTATTTTTGACTCAGTTGATTGGTAACACTCCATTGGTGTACCTGAACAATGTTCACTGAAGGATGTGTTGGTCGTGTTGCTGCTAAGCTCGAGATGATGGAGCCATGCTCCAGCGTCAAAGACAGGTTTCTGCTTTTCGTTCATAAAACTCTGCAGTTTCTTTTTCGTTTTTGAGTTTCAGTTTTGTGAAAAGCTTGTGTTTTGCTTCTTTTTGCAGGATTGGATTTAGTATGATTAATGATGCAGAGAAAAAGGGTCTTACAAAGCCAGGAGAGGTCAGTTTTGATATCTGATTCTTATTTTGGAGGTTTCCTTTTATGTTTGTTTTCTGACTTTTTTTTTAGTTTGTTCTCTTGTAGAGTGTGTTGATTGAGCCAACAAGTGGAAACACCGGAGTTGGGTTAGCATTCACGGCGGCTGCAAAAGGATACAAGCTTATTATCACAATGCCAGCTTCAATGAGTGTAGAGAGAAGACTCATTCTCTTAGCTTTTGGTGTTCAGTTGATTTTGACTGACCCTGCATGAAAGGCGCTATCGCAAAGGCTCCTCTTTTGGCGAAAACACCGAATGGTTACATGCTCCAACATTTTAATAACCCTGCCAACCCAAAGGTATGCTTATTAGTTTTTACTTTTTAGTAGCGCTGGAGTGAATTTGTTTCTGTCAGTTATTGAAATGTGACTGTGACAATGCAGATCCACTATGAGACTACTGGACCTGAGATATGGAAAGGCACTGGTGGTAAAATTGACAGCTTTGTCTCTGGGATTGGTACTGGTGGTACCATAACAGGTGCAGGAAAGTATCTTAAGGAACAAAACCTGAGCGTAAAGGTGAGAGAGCTCTCTATCTTTTGGCATACAAATTGGCTTTCTTATGATACTCTTAAGACTTATTCCGAAATTTAAGCAGTGTGACTTTGCAAGGGCTTATTTTGTTTTCTCTTTTGTCAGCTGTATGGAGTGGAGCCAGTTGAAAGTACTATTCTCTCCGGTGGCAAGCCAGGTGATTTGATCTCCCCCTCTGCTAATTACTTATTATCATTCGTGTTTCTTGTTTCTCCTTTTGATTGTGGAAGTTGCCTAACACGTGATGTTTTGCTGGAAATGCCAAGGCCCTCACAAAATCCAAGGGATAGGTGCTGGTTTTATACCAAGTGTGTTGGATGTTGATCTTATAGATGAAGTTGTTCAAGTAAGAGTACCTTCCAGTTTTTATTTTACTGACCAAAACTGTATTGCATGCGAGTTCTCACTTACAAAACCTCAATTTATCCGTAGGTTTCGAGTGATGAATCCATCGACACGGCAAGACTTCTTGCTCTTAAAGAAGGTCTTCTTGTAAGTGTTTTCACATTCACAACTAACATCAGTTGTTTGTAGGTTATTTGGTTTGCTGCATAATCTCTTTTCATAATGAAAAAACGGTTTCTAATAGCAAAATCTGGAAAAAATGGTAGGTGGGAATATCATCTGGTGCAGCAGCAGCCGCAGCAATCAAACTTGCCAAGAGGCCAGAAAATGCCGGCAAGCTTTTCGTGGTAAGTTTTTTGGGTTATGTTATTGTCACCACCCAAAGCAAAGCCAAGAAGCTCTGATATAAACACATGGAAACAAGAAACAACCACAAATCAATCTGAGTCTTTGTTGTATTCTTATCCTGAACTTCACTTAATTGTTGTCTTTACAGGCGGTGTTCCCAAGTTTCGGAGAGAGGTACCTGTCGACTGTACTATTCGACGCGACAAGGAAAGAAGCGGAAGCCATGACCTTCGAGGCTTGAACTGATCTCGTCTCAAAATCCACGATTTCTTCATTATAGAGACGCCAAAATAAAGAAAGATGTTCAGTTTCTCCAACAGAGCATCTTCATCTATAGTTGCAGTGCGTCTTTGCTTCTTTCTGCATCTCTGTGTACGAATAAACAACCAAGTAGATTCTGTGTTTCTTTTGTGAACAAAACTCATTTGCTGTTTAATAAATCTGAAATTGATGTGTGTGACTTTTGAGTATCATAATGTTTCATGATCAGAATTCAGAACTAAACCACATCTTTTTCAACATATAACCAAAGTCGAGATTCAATTGAAGGATCTTTCCGAGTTCCAGGCTAAGTATGAGATAAAAGATAAGGAAGAAGAAGAAGGCAATGTGGCTCAAAGGAGTGATTCTAATCATATTCCAATTTCAGAGATTTTATCATCTACACAAAATCGACAATCTTTCAATTTTCTCACTGCAATCACTAAAAATTGTACACAAATTTCACAATCTCAATATATAAAATCAGCTGAAAAAGTCTTGAACACCTTTTCCGATGAACACACGATCGGAGAGTTCAGCCAAAATGAAATTAACGGTGAGCAATACGACGCTAGAACCGGCGATAACACCGAGCACGACGCCTGTCGTTCCGAGCACTTTCTGAAATGCCGGCCACTCAATCTCCTTCACTTCCTCCGCCACTCCACTCAGTAACTCGTTCTTCCCTTTCAACTCCTCCGCCGCTTTTCTCTGCTCCATCGCCGCTTTTATCTCTGCTCCCAACGCGCTGATCTCCACCTCTTTCTCTCCGCTTCCACTATCCGCCGGTGACGGAGTTGCCTCTGACTCGGATTCAGATCCAGCTGTATCACGACTCTGTTCGATAGCCTTAGCCACTAGATAATGCGATTTTCTCAGACTACTCATCGCCGGAGTTCTGATCTCAGGGTAAACCGGGAATAGTCGACGAGTGGAAGGTGGAGATTTCATCGGAAAGGCTGTTTTCCTAACACTTCTGATTGTTCCGGTGACCGGCGGCGAGAATTGTGCGGCCAGTGACATTTTTCGAATTTGGGAACTTCTTTCTCTCTGCTATTTTTCCCCCCTTAATTTTAGAATTTCTCTTCGTTGAGGATAATTCACATGAGCGATTATCAGATACAACAGGGAGTACCGTAACGTTACTACAATTATGGGCCTTTGCAGCCCACAGGCCCAATTATTATTTGATTAAATAGACAAAAAGATTTAAAATTTAAATTAAATAGAAAACTAAATCGATTGGGATCGATAGTTATCCGGCGAAGGCGACGACGACGACGACGACGGGAAAAGTAACCAGAGGAGTGTATCGGCGAAAGCAGAGACGATGAATTTGTGGCTATATTCCGGATTCAATGAGAGATAGCAGAAGAGTAACTCCTGCAAGTATTCTCTATCGGCGGCGACGTCTCTCGTCAGATCCCTAGCTTCCACCAGCCGGATCTCTCATCGACCGTCCGAAATCTCTGTACGGATCCGGTGACTCAATGTGCTTAGATCTTTCCTAAATTTAACCAACTCTGTTCTTGATCCCTCAAAGTTCGTAACTTTATACGTTTTTCTTTAAAAGTTTCTTCAAATCCAACTCTTTTGTATTCATTTGGGTGTTTCTCGATCGCAGTTTTTGGTTCTGCTCCGACAGATATGGATCACGAGACCGATCAGAATCCTCCAGGGTAAATTTTTAATTCGTGATATCATTATAACCATCACTCTTTAATCACACTCCTGTATAAAGTTTCGATTCTCTGAAAATGGAAGATAATTAGTTTAACTGAGACATGCATATGATCATTGATCACTTTTGCTTTTGAGTTACTTACAAAAATGGTCAGTGAATCAATCTTCATATGTTATTTCACTCAAACCACATTTTTAATCCTGCCACAGATTTGATGATGGTGAAACAGTCCCAATCACTAGTAACCAGGAGACAGAACCAGTCCCAGCCGTAGACAATTACCAAGAGCAAGACAACTTTTGGGACAATGCAATATTCAACAAGGAACAACAAGATGGTGATGATGATCATGTGAAGGAAAATGACGACAAAAGCCAACTCCCGTCGATTCCGCTTTTCTCTAAAGGCCAAGGCTTGCCGTATGCGCCTATCGACTACCCGAGCGCCGGTGATGTATGGGCTTGGAGAGTTGGGAGGAGAGTGACTGCCACTGGGGCTCATAAAGACAGGTTTCTGATTCTCCCTGATAGGCTTAGGACCAAGAATGCAGCCAAGTCTTTCGCTAGCAAAACCACTCTCTCTCGTTACCTCGAAACAAACTTCCCTGATTTGGATGTTAATGCGTTCTTCGAATCCTTCACCTGGAACATCCCTGCTTTGATTCAACCCGCGGAGAGAGGTAGTTTAAAAAAAGATCTTCTTTCTTCTTTCGATTCGCCTTTAAAGCTCTGTAGTTGATGTTTCTTTTATTATTCTTGTTTTATGTAGTTGATGCTGCATCTTTGTTTGAAGAGACATCAAAAGATGAGAATAATGCTGATGATGGATCAAGTTCACGTTACAGTCAGAGGAAGAGGAAACCAATGCAGCAGACGCAGAGTTACGAACCTGTTGAAGAGAAACCGAAAGCAACTCAACGAGGTAGCTACAAGAGAAAGAAAGAGAAACAAGTCGCTGTTGCAACCACCAAACAGAAACCATCTGATGGCAGTGGAGTTGATATTGGTAAGAAAGCATATTTGGGATCTGCTCAAGCTGGCATTGGCAGGGACCATGGAGGTGGCTCTAGTAGTAAAGATTTAGGTTATGAGAAGAGGAGGAAACCATATTTAGATGGATCAGGGACAGGGAACGTAGGTTTTGCTAATCAAGGTTATAGGTGTAAGGTGAGTGGAAACGAAAGTAAAACTCATGCGTCATTGTTGCAGAACAAGTATAAGCGTGACATGAATTTTGATGGACCGATCAGGGTTCAGGGGAAAAATGGTGTCCTCAAGGTGATGCCGAAGAAGCTGAATAAGATGGGAGTGTTACTGCAAAGTTTCACTGATGGGGAAGCTAAACAAACTCACTATGGCTCAAAAGTGCAGGAGACTGGTAAAATTCGTGTTGCTATCCCGTCGTCGCCAACCACTGTAAAAACTGAAAACATGGCGAAGCTGCTTCCTCCTGCTAGGATACAGTCGAATGGGTTGAAAATGCCCACGAGCTTAACCATGAAGAGTAAGAGTCACGACCAAGATTCTGAAGATAGTGATACTTCCGGACGGCTGCAGAAGAGAGCCATTCAAGCTCACAAGCTCTTGCACATGTCAAGCACTGGAAGAGAAATTTTTTTACCTGAAGCGCCAACACCTCAAAAAATCAGAGATGGAAAGATTAGGCGTGGATCAGGCACAGAAAAACAAAGATTACGTGAGCGAATAAGGGAAATGTTACTGGAAGCAGGGTGGACAATTGACTATAGACCTAGAAGGAACAGAGATTACCTAGATGCAGTCTATATAAGCCCCAGGGGAACAGCATTCTGGTCTATTATCAAGGCTTATGAAGCACTTCTTAAGCAGGTAAATAGTGGGGGAAAAGTGGCCAAGCCTTGTGAAGATAGTTCCGCAATTACTTTGATCTCTGATGAGATACTCAGTCAGCTGACGCGGAAAACCAAAAAGTTTGAGATAGATATGAAAAGGGAGGAGCAATGTGCCAGTGATAGTGATGGACAAGCGACATTTGCAAGAAATTTCCCACCTATTAGAAATGTAGTTGGAAACGGTGACAGACATGTTCATAAAGAAAAGCGAAGCTCCTATCCAGAGCTGGTTGGTATATCAATAAAGAACGAAGTCAATGACAGAGATGATTCACAGGGTACAACTTCACAAAGTGAAAGCCAAAAAACCACTACTTTGTTCTGGAGGTTTAGTTTCTGACTTTATTTTGTGTCTGTTCGTTCTGTTTTAGAGTGTGTTGATTGAGCCAACAAGTGGAAACACCGGAGTTGGTTTAGCATTCACGGCGGCTGCAAAAGGATACAAGCTTATTATCACAATGCCGGCTTCAATGAGTGTTGAGAGAAGAATCATTCTCTTAGCTTTTGGTGTCCAGTTGATTTTGACTGACCCTGCTAAAGGCATGAACGGCGCTATCGCAAAGGCCGAAGAGATTCTGGCGAAAACACCTAATGGTTACATGCTCCAACAGTTTAACAACCCTGCCAACCCAAAGGTATGTTTATGCTTTGGTGAATCTGTTTCTGTCTGTTGTTGAACTTTTGAATTCATTTGAATTTTTTTACTGTGACAATGCAGATCCACTATGAGACTACTGGACCTGAGATATGGAAAGGCACTGGTGGTAAAATCGACGGGTTTGTCTCTGGGATTGGTATACCATAACAGGTGCAGGGAAGTATCTTAAGGAACAAAACCCGGACGTAAAGGTGAGAGAGAGCTCTTATCTTTTGTCATACAATTTGGCTGGCTTTCAAGGTTTCTTATTTTGTTTTCTTCTTCTGTCAGCTGTATGGAGTGGAGCCAATTGAAAGCGCTATTCTCTCCGGTGGCAAGCCAGGTGATTTGATCTCCCCCTCTGTTTATTACTTATCATCATTCGTGTTTCTCCGTTTGCCTCCTTTTGATTATGGAAGTTGCCTAACTTGTGATGTTTTGCTGGAAATGACAAGGCCCTCACAAAATTCAAGGGATAGGTGCTGGTTTTATACCAAGTGTACTGGATGTTGATCTTATAGATGAAGTTGTTCAAGTAAGAGTACCTTCCAGTTTTTATTTTACTGACCAAAAACTGAGAGCTACAATTTGTCACTTACCTTCCTTTTATCTTTCCTGTAACGCGTTCCACAGGTTTCAAGTGATGAATCCATCAACACGGCAAGACTTCTCGCTCTTAAAGAAGGTCTTCTTGTAAGTGTTTCACATTTCACAAACGAACGAGCTATCTCAGCCAGAGTGACAAATTCTTTTTGGTTTTGCTTAGATAAGTTGAGACCTTTAAGATTCGAACCTCAAAAACAAATGTGGATACTACACTAGGATCAGTTGTGAAATACTATTGCTGCATTTTTCTTCTCATATCATAGTGAAATACGGTTTCTAACAAACAAAATATAAAAATGGTAGGTGGGAATTTCATCTGGTGCAGCAGCAGCCGCAGCAATCAAACTTGCAAAGAGGCCAGAAAATGCCGGGAAGCTTTTCGTGGTAAGTTTTTTGGGTTATGTTAAAGCCAAGAAGCTCTGATATTAAACCTAGAAACAAGAAACAACCACAAATCAATCTGAGTCTTTGTTGTATTCTTATCCTGAACTTCACTTAATTGTTGTCTTTACAGGCGGTGTTCCCAAGTTTCGGAGAGAGGTACCTGTCGACTGTACTATTCGACGCGACAAGGAAAGAAGCGGAAGCCATGACCTTCGAGGCTTGAACTGATCTCGTCTCAAAATCCACGATTTCTTCATTATAGAGACGCCAAAATAAAGAAAGATGTTCAGTTTCTCCAACAGAGCATCTTCATCTATAGTTGCAGTGCGTCTTTGCTTCTTTCTGCATCTCTGTGTACGAATAAACAACCAAGTAGATTCTGTGTTTCTTTTGTGAACAAAACTCATTTGCTGTTTAATAAATCTGAAATTGATGTGTGTGACTTTTGAGTATCATAATGTTTCATGATCAGAATTCAGAACTAAACCACATCTTTTTCAACATATAACCAAAGTCGAGATTCAATTGAAGGATCTTTCCGAGTTCCAGGCTAAGTATGAGATAAAAGATAAGGAAGAAGAAGAAGGCAATGTGGCTCAAAGGAGTGATTCTAATCATATTCCAATTTCAGAGATTTTATCATCTACACAAAATCGACAATCTTTCAATTTTCTCACTGCAATCACTAAAAATTGTACACAAATTTCACAATCTCAATATATAAAATCAGCTGAAAAAGTCTTGAACACCTTTTCCGATGAACACACGATCGGAGAGTTCAGCCAAAATGAAATTAACGGTGAGCAATACGACGCTAGAACCGGCGATAACACCGAGCACGACGCCTGTCGTTCCGAGCACTTTCTGAAATGCCGGC